GCGCACTCAGTATTTTTGACCATTTAATAAATTTTGTTGTAAGTTACATTCGTTTAATAATCACCCGTCAACTTTTTTTTCCCTAAAGCAATCTAAAAAAAAATTATTGCAATTTTTAAAAATATCCCTAGACTTTTCCGATGTGTGTACATTGTTCGCCTCACATATGCGATAACCAATCTTGTTTTTATACGTATAACTGGTTCTCTATACTACAGACTTTCAAATTTCATTAAGATTATGAGTCAATTGAAATCATGTTTGGCCGCCGGTCCTACACACCCAGTAGAGAGAATACCAAATTTCAGAGGTTCGCAAACGAGTTATTATCTCGATCGGAGACAAAAGACCTTTCTTTGACCGAAGGGTTATTAAGTTGAAGGTTGTGGAATTGTAATTAATAAATAGCGCTACTAGTGGGGATATTCGAAAAGTAAAATAAGATCATCAGTTGTTTAGCGTACTTTGACCAGTCACGTTGTTGCTTCAGTATCTAATTTGTTTAAATTATTGAAATGGAAATAGGAAAAGTTTTAGTGTCTGATGCAGTAGATGCATCTTGTGTCGATCTTTTGCGAAAGTTTTCGATTCAGGTTGACTGCAAATATAAACTTCCCAAAGAGAAACTCATTGCAGAAATCCAGGTCAGTATAAAAGAATTTTAATCGGTTTTCAATACCCAAAATGAACGTTTAGTGCTTTAACTAAACAAAAAATATTTGTGGCTGGTACCTAACAAGCAATATGAACAGACACGAAAAATATTCATCCGTAAATAGTTTACATACCTCAAAGTACCGACTGACATTTCTTTCTTTTTCTTAAATAATGTAGACTACCGTGACTTTTAATGTCTTCCGATATAATATTCGAAGGTACCGTGCATTAATTTAGAAAATTGTTTGACATTATATTTTTCTTTTTTATTTATTTGAGTGATTGAGCAGATTTAAATGCTTACACTTGATGGATGAGCAAACACTATTATTTAAAATATATCAATGCATTTTCTTTCCAAGCAGCAGAAAAAAATATCTAAACTGTGATTGATGAGAAATTACATATTTCCCATCATGAACTATTCACAAAATTGCAAAATTGCGTTTTGGTATAGTTCTCAGAAAATAACAAATTATTTTTCAGGAAATAGTTTTTTTGTTGTCTCTAAACATCCAATCATTTTTTTTATTTTCAAAATATTTTTGGAGAAATTAATATTGGCGTTTTCGGAGGCGCACTAATACGCAAGCGCATTGCCATATATGTATTATTGAAAATTACGACCTTGAAACTCGAAATTACGACTTTAAACTCGTGATTTCGAGATTAACATCGAAATTTCGAGTTTCAAAGTCGTAATGTTCAAAAATATGTGGACCATTTGCGCTTCCGTAGTGTTCAGCACAAATTTTCGACTTCAAACTCGAATTTTCGAATTTACACTCGAAATTTTGACTTTGATCTCGAAATTTTGACTTTTAACTCGAAATTTTGTGCTGAACACAACAAATGTTATTGTCCACCGGGAAATGAGACTCTTCTTTTTTTATAGTTGTCAAAATTTTGAGAAAAAATACTGTACTCAATCCAGAGAGCATTTTATACCTTATACCTTGGGCGATTATATTCAAAAGCGAGGCGTTTTACCTTTTTATATACGTAGGAAGTACCTATTATGAGTATGAGGAACTTTCAATGCTTATTAATATTTTTCAACTTTTACATTCAAAATTAACTATTGTTAATGTGTTTATAACTTTTCAACATATCTTATGTTGTAAAAATAAGTTGAACAGACATAAATATTATCTACTAGTTGTTGCCCGCGGCTCCACCCGCGTAGAATTTGGTTTGTCACATTAAGTTTCGTGACAGACCATTTTAAACAAATAGTTACAATATTTTTTATTAACCCAAAACTTCAGGTTTCCAACTTCAAAACTGACTAAATTCAATACAATCTTTGAACTTTTATCTTTCCCTCTTGGGGGTGGAAATTCCACATTCTCTTTCTTGATGCTTATTTACACTATACAAAGAACCTACCTGCATATTTCAACATTCTATGTTCAGTAGCTTCGGCTTTACGTTAACATGAGAGAGTCAGTAAATCAATAGGTTCCCACTTATACAATATTGAATAGTATCAGCAAAAAACTGAAGGGATGAGAATGAAATACATTGGTAATCCTACTATTCCTATTCCTACTAATTTCATAAATGCGTAAAGTTTGTGAGGATGGATGAATGTGATGTATGTTTTTACGTTTTTTACTTTTTCATGCCTGAACAACTCAACGGATTCAAATGTAAGTTGGTATATAGATAGATCATGACCTGGAATAACACATAGGGTAGGTTCCCACGGTGGCGCGGGTAAAACAACGGGGAACAGCTAGTATTGTATAAGTGGACATCTATATTGATTGACTGACAATCATATATTTACGTACAGTCGAAGCGACTGAACCTAGAATCTTGAAATATGCGGGTAGGTTCTTTGTATCGCGTAAATAAGCATCAAGAAAGGGATCAGGAATTTCCACCCTCAAGGGAGAAAATAGGAGTTCAAATATTGTATTGAATTTCGTCAGTTTTGAAGTTGGAAAACTGAAGTTTTGGGTTAATAAAAAAACATTGTAACTATTTGTTTAAAACGGTCTGCCAAATTATAAGAATTTACAGATATTCTAAAATGTGCATTGTAAAAAAAGTATCCAATTTAATTGTATATATAGTGGCTACCACATACCAGGTAGATATATATACTATCGTGGATTTTTATTTAAAAATATTCAAGATAAACAATCTTACGGTACATTATCTTCTTGTAACTCCAACGGTATATATACTTATGATGCACTGATTTGGAACCTTTGATGTAGTAATGAATATTACTGGAGTTTTTTTCCCAACACCAAATCGTTAATTTTCAACATCTCGACACGTGTTTCGATCACCAAGTGATCATCTTCAAAGAGGAAGATTAAAACTAGAAACTAATGCGAGCTAGCTCTATTTATGCTATATAGGTATCCTATACAGGTAAATCATCCAGGCGTACCACCCATACAGGTGTAGCAACCTAAATTAATTTTACAATTTTGCCTTATCTATTATTTTACAATATATGTTTATATAAAACAATTTTCAGCTATATAAAAATTAATTTCACAATATTGCCTATCCAAATTTATTTTTGCAATGTGTCCTTATGTAGTAATCAGTAAACCCAACAACATTATTTTATTTTAACAAGCTATATAGTAGACCTATGCTCTTTGGTATAGGTCCGTCATCGTTATACATAATATTATTGTGTTCACTTATTTCTACACTCTCATAGGCATCTAGTTGCCTGTTGTTGTTAACTTGTCTAACTAATCTTAATGGAATGATTTTGTTGCAAAATATGATGGGCGATTGCTGATTTTTCAGGTCTTCCATATTTTTAGTGTGCTATGTGTTCCTTATATCTTACTTCAATGGATCTTTTTGTATATCCATAATATTTTGCATCGCAGTCCTTACATTCAATTTCGTAAATTCCAGACTTTTCCGAATTCTCGACTTTGTCTTTTGGACTTCCCAAAAGGCTCTGTAGTGTATGACTTGTTTTAAAAACCAACTTCATACCTAGTTCCTTGAAAATCTTTCCAAAGTTCCTCGTATATTGGTGGTATGGAACTGAGATTTATTTATCTTGGTTTTTGTCCTTTCTGAAAGGCGAGATTTCGTTCATTCGTTCAAAAATAACGATTTGGTGTTGGGAAAAACCTCCTGTAATATACAACGGTATAGGCAGAGCACGCCAAGATATCTCTCAGGAAGCAAGAATTTTTCCGACTTACTTAATGCTTATCGTTATTTTATGACCAAAATTATACGAAACCTTTCTAAATTGTAGCCTATATGTTATTCTGATGTATAGGCTGTATTTATGTAAAGTTTCATATACATCAGTTCAGTCGTTTAGGCGTGAAAGAGCCACAAACATACATACATTCATCCATCCTCAGAAACTTTCACATTTATAATATTAGTATAGATATATCTAATAGATTTAACTGCTGCAACTGCTAAAAACATAATCGTAATGAAGTAGGTATACTTTTATTGAGATCAACTGTGTCGAAACTTTTTTTCGGGCTTATTTGAGGTGGTTTGCATGTTTTTATGCTTGGAGTTTCGTTTACAACTGCGGTAGATATTATCAAAGGCCATGAGGCAACGGAAGAACTGATTTTGTTGTCCTCACTGCACAAACTACATTGCTGAAAGTTTGGATCTGTTTCAACTAGAGCTTCAGAGCACGTCTATTGTATCACCGCCCTTGGCAATGTATACCGCAGTTGTAGACGAAACGCCACTCATTAAACCAATAACAATCCACGGTCAACTAACCGTAGAAAATTGCTCCGACACAATTATCTCCGCCCGATAAAGTTTACACTGTTCGATCAGCTCTGTAAAAATTATATAAAGATACTTCATTGCCTGACTAGTTGTTCTTGAATGATTATTTTAGCACTCCTGGAGGAAACGCCATTAGCGCTTGTGAGCTGACTTGTTCGCTCATCACAACCTTGGCTCGAAACGTTGTAGCAGGCGCAGCTTCCCTGAAGGCGGGCAGATGGGACCGAAAACTCTACTCCGGTCATGAACTTTATGGCAAAACTCTGGCGATTTTGGGTTTAGGAAGGATCGGCAGAGAAGTAGCTATCAGGATGCAAGCATGGGGGATGAGGGTACGGACAGAATATTTTTTATTGTTGCTATTAGATTTTCAAGAATTTTCTCTGATTTTAATTATGAAGAGTAGTACAATTTTTGTATCAAGTCATAGTAATGAAATATTTTTTTTACATTTTTATAAAGATATGTAGATTAAATTTCGGTGCAGGTAAAAGTTACATTACAGTTCCCCGCTCGGTCAATGTTGTCCAAGCAGGAGTGTATTGAATTTTGCAATGCGAAAGGAATATAATATGAGGCCTCAACGAAATGAGCTAATCAATATTCTCACAGACAGCGAGTCTTCACTTTGGGTATTGTTTGATGAACCCAAGAGTCACATCGCGAATGATCTGCCAAGAACTTCAGGAATCAAATGAAACGAAAGAGCTGATGAGTGTACTGGGTACGGGGCCAAATCGGGAAATGGGCCGATTAAAAAAAGAACTGGGAAAAATATATCTAGAAATACACCCCGGTAAACTTTAATGAAGGTGCCGTCTGAAAAAATTAAAGATCTGCTTCGAAAGATGAAGATCTGCTTCGAAAGAGAGCAAGGATAATTTCTGAATAATTACCAAACTAATTACTGAACACAGTCTATTTATTAATTTGTAAACTAGAACCCAATCACAATGCATTCATTATTCAACACCAGACAGAGATGTTTCGACCCGCCATATGTCTCATCAATGATGCAGGGACAAACCGCCAAACCACAAATGCATTAATGAACTCAACTGTCCTTCTCCCCTTACGAAGACGCCAAACACAATGTGTTTGGGATCCAGTTGCTTTGCAGTAAAAGCTGTAGTGTAAGGCAGAAGATGAATCTCATCGCGGTCGACGTCGAAGCTTGGCTTTGTAACTGACCGCCTTGGGGAGCCTCAATTATCTCTGATATTCGATGATTGAGTTTTCTGTCGATCCCATATAGATGCCGTCTTCGTACGGGGAGATGTCATCGCCCCTACTTATTCAGCTTGTTAGCTTGAACAAAATAAAGCTTTATCCGAGACCTTAGTTGCAGGTATGTAACAAAGGGACAAAAGACAGATACTCGTTGTGATTTATGCGAATGTGAGAAACTATATCACTAGAGGCCAAAAATATATGAACAACTGAAATATGTGAAAAAACTATACAAACTATTCAAATGTATGATAGTGCAATTGAAAAGAGAAATGAAAATTTCTGTTTTTTACTAATGTAACTAATTGTAAGTGGTAAAAAACATAAACATTTTCATTTCTCTTTTCATTATGATGTCCTACCACGTAGATCATCATTTTTCCTCATCTGTTTAGTATTTAGTATAACTTCCGTACGCTACCGCAAGAGACAGATTGAGTCAAAAATGTCAGTCATTTCTGAAAATTTAGCGCCTACTATTTTGAAATTACGGTATAATACAAAACAAGATTGTTGGAAAAAGTATAATGAAATGAGGGAAAGAAAAAAGCAATGAGCCCATGAGTTTACAGGGTTTTTCGGAGACATGGAAGTGATGGATAGATAGATGGAAATAGATACAAATATCCTGGGATTTCATGCCATAATTAGATACAAAAACTAGGTATATAGCATTTCTGCCATTTGTAACATGTAACTTTTTTGAAATGGCACACACATAATTTTTTTGGAGGTTGAAACAGTTAGCCTCTTAGATTTTCGTAGTTTCCAATATAGTATAGAGGTAGCAAATGAAGACATAAAAACTGGGAAGTTAATGTAAGACATGTACATTTCAAAATTATTTCATGAACACTATACAAGTTATTTATTAAACGAAATGACACTTCATTTCAAATCCAAAATTTATGTTCATAGAACTAGACAATATGAACATTTTTTCGTCTTTCAGATCATGTTCCAATGTCTGCAGAAAGTTTGTATTATCTATTAATCTTCATATTTTGAATTGTTCACCAAATGACACCCATCAAAAGAAAAAGGTGTACATATTTAAACATTGAATCAAATATTTTTCTTAAATCCATGAATCAGACCGAGTCGATGATTAATTTTCTCTTACAATGTAAAAATCAATAAAATCATCTGAAGGAACAGTTTGTGCAGGCCAGTTTCAACTCCCTACACTGTAGGTTAATGGACTGACACCTATCAGAAAACAACTACTTCCCTGGCTAATACCACGAAGGGCGTTGGATTATATCCGACAGGTGTCAGTGCAGTATTCTTCACTTAAGTTATTCCTGCATATGCTGTTGACGATACAACTGCCACAATAGATTTTCAATTATCTATCTATCATCAACATTAAGTCAATAGTTTTCTGTACAACTTATGGGCGAGGGGGGGTGGCGGGTAATGAGAGGTTATGGAGAGTTTGTTTACATTTGAAGTAAGTGGGACCATAAAACAGTGCCGGTGGGTTTAGTTGATAATTGGAGGGATATTATATATTTATAAAATAAAGCATTTCAGGTGAGAATGTATTCTGTTCAAATAGTTCCTACAGGAAATTTGATTTATTAATGATTATGAACATGAAGCCAGTTTTTCTACCACCTACTAGATTTATATTGATGTATGGCTTTATAATAAAGCGCGTGGTTTACTGGGTTAAAATTAAATTATTCCAAATGAACTAATTCATAACAATGATAAATGTTAATTTCAAAAGTAATGAACTTTGCTTCATGAAATCAGATGAAGAAATTTATGATTTATTCTCAGATTTGATAAACCAGCAGTACGGTTTGTGAAGTCCGATATAAAAAATTTTCGATTAGAAATCATTAATATTATAATTACGATTGAGGTTTGATATTATTATGTGATTCCATTCAAAATTGGTATCTAGGAGTCTTTGTCGACCGACATTATGTTTTTTTTTCAATAATTCATGCTGACGAATTCTATAATTACAAAAAATCATTAATGTAAATGAAAAAAATTGTATTCAAAAATGAAAAATATGTTTTTCATGTGTGCCATAGGTCATATCCATTCTGTGATTAACAGATTAAAAAGCTTTCTGCTCAATGTTCAGTTTATATACTAAATAGTTATTAAATTGATGGATGTAGCCGTTATTACGTGGTAGGAGATCATAATGAAAAGAGAAATGAAAATTTCTATGTTTTTTACCACATTTATTTGTAACTAACGTTACTGCAGTTTCGTCCTATATAGACATTCTCAAACTTATACAATAAACTAACAATGATTCATTACATTCGCCAATATATACCATACAGGTACTTATTGATTACCTGAATTTACAGTTCACAATGCGGATGTGCCAATTTAAAAACCCGAGAGTAAATTAAATCGATTTGATCATTTAACAGGTTGCACCCGCAATGTTTATGCTTGTGAATTTCCAAGGATTCTAAATAATTGAGTTTGCAACCCTTCCTTGCATAGTGCAGAATTTCCGTATCGTTTATATTCGGAAACTTGTGGCTGCATGCCAAGGAATGGTTTGAAAACGTCGAATCATTTTTTCCTAGTCTGAAGGATCTTTCAAAAACGGTATGCTGAACATGTATATATCCCATATTGTTGTGAATTGTGAAAGTAACTGTTAACAGTTTTCTGAATGTATATTTTTCATCAATCGCTTCCTTTGTGAACATTATCAATTGTTTATCTCCCTAATTACATCTGAATAATAATTAATCATAAATTGCTTTGTTTATTCCATCCAGCATTACATCAGATCTTCAGTTCAATATATCTTATCTGGATCCCCAGCGGTTTGAATAAACATGTTTTGTAATGATATATGATAATCTATGTTTCGAAGTTGTTGATTTAGCATTTTGACGTTCATCATGTACCAATCCGATTTTATTTTTTCATTATTATCTACGTCATAGGATTGAATGATAACAAAATATTTTTAAAGCATGTTTTTAAAATTTATTTCTTTTTTAGACCATCGGCTATGATCCAATTGTACCTGCTGAAGATGCGAAAAAATTCAATGTGGAAGCTTTGGATCTAGAACAAATATGGCCCCAAGCAGATTATATAACAGTACACACACCACTGATACCTGAAACTAGGAGTAAGTGCATAAATATGCTGGTTTTTCAGTATAGCGCGGCTATATAGAATATTAATTGAAGAACTATGATAGAAAATCTATTCACATATAAATGGTTTTAACCTTGAGAGATCTTTTCCATTCGTTACTTCTTTAACTTGCTAGGTAGGATTGGAACCGCTGGCGTGAAATGGATTTATTGAACTACACCAGAATAAAAATACTGCCTCTCGATGTGCGTTTCGCTAACCAAGTTAGCATCATCAGGAGATTACTAAGATTATTTTTGATAGGAACAGAACAGAACAGAACAGAGATACAAAAAAATATCCACCCAATTCCTAACTCACTACCTTGAGGCCAATCACAGACGAGCAATTTCATACGTTTACAATTGTCTTTCAAATATTTTCAATCGCAAGTTGTACCTCACTGGAAATTTGTAATAACAAAATGAAAATTATTAAAAACCCAAGTACCTTCATGTCAGACTAACTGGTGAACAGTTTCTTGTCGTAGTAGCTAGAAATTGAATAAAGTAGGTTAGGTTAGGTCAAAAGTGAGTGTGTCTATTCCACCCTCCACCGCAACCCGCAAGGGTTTATTGTGGCTCACACCTATTCACACTCTACCAAATAAACCCAGCTTCTTAACAAAGTCGATTAGCTTGTATGGTGAATGGTCTTTCAGGTCAGATGGTAAAAGTACGGCTCTGCCAAACTCTGAAAACCTGATTCGGTTCCCAGCAAGACAGGCACAAAGTATGCTCTGCTGTTTCATCATTTTTCAAACAGAGGCGACATACACTGTCTTCCGACACTCCGAGTCTCTGCATATGATAATTCAGACGACAGTGACCTGTAAAGAGGCCTGTAAGATATTGTTATTCATCCCTACTGTAGTCCAACAACTGACTTCCAGTGTCAAACAACAGTAAATTGATTTGTGCAATTGATATATATGATTTATCTACAATAAATGCTAACAAACCGATCGTTAGATTTTAAATATTATTTCACGAGTCGAAAAAAATCATCAGTGTTATACATAGATAATCAGATACCACTTTATTTCCAACAGGTACCTATATACCTGCACAAGAAAAGTTTAACAAAATGAAGAAAAGAGAATCGAAACTTTGTATGTTTTTCAATTCAATTCTCTTTTCTTCATTATGATTTTCTACCACGTAGTAACGGCTACATCCATCAATTTATTAAAAGTTTAACAAAATTAAAAATCATGTCAACAAACCATACCTGAATGATTATCTTTTCTTTCAGATCTGATATGCGAAAAAGTACTCAACAAATGTAAGAAAGGAGTAAAAATAATAAATGTAGCCAGAGGAGGAATCATCAACGAGAAGGACTTGCTGAGTGCAATTAAATCAGGTCACTGCGGTGGAGCAGCATTGGACGTGTTTGAGCAGGAACCGCCAAAAGATCCCGTTACATTAGAGCTCATTCAACAAGAGAAGGTTGTCGCAACCCCCCACTTGGGAGCAAGTACGGAGGAAGCTCAGATCAGGGTAGCTGTGGAGATTGCTGAGCAGATAATTGCTCTCACGGGAAGAAGTAAAGATTTCACAGCCACTCCTGGCGTCGTGAACAGGAGTGTGCTGAAAAATATCAAAAATATTGACTGAAATAAAACTTATATGAGAATTCACCATTAATTGTTTTTCTTTCGTTTCTATACCTAGAGAATATAACCAAGCTGTCAATGCCAATTAATGTTCCACTTTCTATTTTTTCGAAACAAACCTTTCCTACACATCATGGTAAAGTTCTTATAAGCCAATGCAACTCTGGTAAAATTGGTGAAACAAATTTCGAAAAGTCACGGCGTTCTAGTATTTTCCGGAGGCCGGCGTTATTTTTTACAGGGGATAATTTACAACAGTAGTAATATAAATATGAAAGCTCAAGACAGTAACTAGAGTAACTTTAAGATCTATTTTGTGGGAAACTGGTAATAAGTTGTTGATTGTATAATCAAAGATAAGTTGAGATTTGGATCTATAATAACAAGGCATTTTTATCAACATTTAGTGGGTATATACCATACCACTTTCTTGACACTAGTTTGAAATACTGTTGAGATTCGGTGTGGGAAATTTACTGGGTCCTTGTGAGAATTTATTCTGGAGAATATTTTGAGATCGTCTGCAAATAGGAAAGCTGTTCCACTGAAGACGCTGTATAAAATATCATTTATAAAAATGTTGGATAACATGGGTTATAAGTTGGACTTATGAGGGACACCAGATTTGACTGAAATGTATCTGGATATGAAGTTAGTTTCTCTGACCGTTGCATTCTCTGATCAAGATAGCCTTCAATAAACTCCAGAAATGGTCCTGATAGGCAAACGTAACTGAGTTCATGTACTTATTTCACAATAACCAAAAAAATGTAAAAAATAATTGCAGCAAGAAATATTCCAAGAATTTGTTTCGCTATCAAGAATTACTTAATATATAACTTGTTCCATAATTTGTTATTGTTTCAAAGCGTGAACTTTTCTGAATAGACGTGTAGTAAAAATAACTAAAAAAATTCAGACAAAAACCTATAAAATTTCAGTCACTCAATGTTTATCCCAAGTAATATTAGCATATGAAACATTCAAAATGAAAATGTAATGTGCATTTGACGATACCTAACAAGTTTCAAAGAATATCTATTTGATGATCGTTATGAGACCATTCCATTCTTCAACTACTTATATATTTCAACTATTCATTTATAATCAATCCCACAAATAAGTATTTCCAGGGGTGATTTTCTTGACAGTGCTAGCTTTTTGACCTGCTTCCAGTTGTGAAGGAATGGGTGCTATTACTTCTGGAGGAGAGACTTCACGTCTTGGATCTCTGGTGTAGTAATAATTGGCGCTCAGTTTGTGAGCTGGACCGTCTGGAAGTATTGGGGGAGGTGGGGACCGTGTGGCAATTGTGTCTTGAAATCTGATTAAAAAAATATGAATATTTATAAATCATTATAACCACTTTAAAAATACTAACCTCAGAGCCAAAGTGTGTTTTCTACCTAACAGAAAATTTCGCAAGTTTTGTAGAAATGGATTAACGTCGTGAAACTGAACTTTTGGTTTTGGTGGCATTTTCCTTTTCACAAGATAAATTTAATTAAAATATTACAAAATCAATTTTGACTGTTTGGAGGTTAGAACTTGACAGTTGCATAACAGCTTTAGGAATCGGTTTCGTGATTTGAAGTTAATGTACTTATACGAAATCTAGTAGTTAATTTTAAAAGGAAATTCAGAGTGTCATCTTCGGATAATAAAAATCATAAGGCATAAAGATTCTCACGTATTGTATCGTTTAGTCGAAATCTAGTAGTTTATTTGAAAAAAAATGGTCATTTCGTTATTCACTTTTTCTCCCATGAAGATGAATTGTTATTAAAGAATATGAAAAGTACAATAATTGATTGAAGTAATAAGTATATTCCTTGATTTATTTCTGATGAAATTACTAACTTAGGGAAAATCTATATTTTTCACGTTATCAAATGCTAATGCCGCCTATTTTCAAATTCATAATTAGGTATTCCAAATACCTATCGTGTTTTATAAAATATGGCGAAATATAGCCATTTTTCATTGTTAAAGCAAATGCACATTAGGTGTTTCTCTATTAATGAAGATAGAGTACACCGAATTGCACTGGTTTTACTAACGGAAAACAATATTGACTGCATACTAAATCAAAATTGAAATAAAATATGTGAAATAATTACATATTTTCGAATTTTTCAAAAGACACTTCAATTATCAATGAATCCACATCATCCCTAGTACAATTTGGAACTAGTTTCAATTACAAAAGTTGGTGGATTTATACAGTAGTCTTTAATACCTAATAGGTAATTTGTTAGGTTAAAGTATGCTTTTAATCGATCCTATATGAACTTTCATTAGTCGAAATTTGTGCGAGCTGGGCATAAACAAGGCTGTAACTTTAACGTACGATTCCTACCAAGTAGTAAGTTGGATCATTTTCAGAACGCACTCGTGCTGTGCAAGTTTTTAGTATTGATAAATACTCTCATGACCTAAAACTGGTGCATGAATATATAATTATAAAAAATTCATGACTTACCATGATATATATTACATATACCTACTATCAGCTTAGTCACAATAAACCCTCATGGGTTGCAGTGGCGGGTCGAATAGACCTTTCACTAGCTGTTTGAAAGTCGAACATATCACACAAAAAATATGGAATATTAAGTAATACTAATTAGACTGTGATGAGGAATAAAATGATGTTATACTAGCTTCAGATTATTTTTTTATTGGATCATAGGTTGATATAATCCTCCAGTTTACTATTTAATCATTAAGAAAACACTTGGGGGAAGTTTTATATAAATATATTTTCAACAAATTTCAAACAGTACACAGTACAGTAACTAAAACATCAACTATCATTTTCTGCAATGTTTTCAACAAGAATATAATGAACATAAGCTGAAAACACTGCAACAAGCCTGAACATTTTTAGAAGCCAGATCATTAGTACAAAAAAACTAAAAATATTCAGACTCTACATTCTCACAGAGAAATTCGATTATAAAAAATGGAAATCATGTTTGAACTTATTCTACCTTAGCTAAAATATCTGATTCTCTGAACAGATGGTATTCAGCGTTGTCTTCCAAATTAACTTTGGTGCCGCCATACTCTGGAAGTAGTACTTTTTCTCCAACTTTCACTGATAATGGGGCAAGAGAACCATCCTGTAAAAAAATCAATATTTATGTTCTATGTCTAATATGGCACATCTATTTAAGAGATCCATTATGAATCTTATTTTTTTAATAACGTAGTACCTACAAAGAGAAAATTATAACTTTTGCCAAAAAGAATATTTTATGTGTAATCTTGAGTTTCTGATATGAAAGTAAAAATTACAAATTATCAAGTTGGAACACATTGTTCTGACTTGGTTTACGGGACATGACTGTTGGAATAAGGATATTTTCATCTACATTCTACATAATAAATTGTATGAAGTGATAATTCAATTGATTTTCAATAACTGAAATAGATCAGTATATGGGGTAACTGTGGCTTGTCTAACTGATTGATTCTGCTTCATTACATGGCCATCAGGACTGCGAATGATTCCTAGGTGACTCAGGGAGTTGAAATAACCTACCTAGAACCTGACGTCTATAATCGTAGTTGTCGATGCTGTTGATACCTAAAGAAAAAAATTGGCGAACTTACTTGTAATCTAGCACCAGGTCCAACAGCCACTACTGTGCCCTGCAAAACTTTGTCTTGTGCTTTTTCTGGAATCACGATTCCTCCTTTCGTTTGAGTTACAGCTTCAAATTTCTTAATTAAAACTCTGTCGAACAGAGGAATCAATCTTTTTGCTGCTCCAGACTGGAAATAGAATGAAATTTCATACGGGATTCCAAGAATTTAGAAAAGATTGATAAAAACGTGCACGAGGTATTTTGAAGGTTAAAAAATTTATACTATCTGGATTAAAGTTCAACTTACCATCTTTGGTATTTTATTTGTGATTGAGTTGAGAAGAATAAATGCGGTTTGAAAAAGTCTCAATTCTCGTTAAAATTCGAGTCTGGAGAATTTTCTGGAATGAAAGATGCAGGAATATACCGCTTCTTTGGGAGCTGTTATCTCAATAACTTCTATCGCCTTCCTACTGATTAAACTCAAAATAATTTGGTATGTTATCTTTCCTTTCAATATGTGTAAAAGTGCGACGAGAACATTCGAGCATATGTCGTAAATCGTATTCGATTTTGGTGTTCTGCTAATAAATAGGTGAGCTACCAGCTACTAGATGTCAATAAAGGAATTGTGGTTCATGGTTTGGCGGTTTTATCGTTACCTGTAATTGTAGTTCATTCTACTTTTCGTTGTTTCGAAACGTTTCAATAATTTGAGAGAAAATAGTTTCTTTGTGTCTATATACAAAGTACAAATGTAAAGACATTGTATATAGACTAGTCTATATAGTATATATAGTCTATGTACAAAGGTAATGATATTTGAGTCCAATTCGTGTATTGATGTCAATTTGGATTTGTAATACTTAGGTCGGATATCAGCAACTAGGTGTCCAAATAAAGTCGATAATAACGGAATTGTGGGTTGTTAATACAGAAAATTACGAAACAGTGATCTGTCAGACTACCTTAGTTAACTTCGGTATCTCATAAAAAGATGTCGCCGCCTACAAAAAAGTTTTTTCATATTCTGGCCAAGACTTTGAATAAAGGTAACCTAGTTTATTTTTACTTCTCTTTTGTGTTTCAATAAGTATTGTGAAATAAAGTTAATATTTGATAGTCACTGCCAAGGATACAATGGTCCTAGAATTTTATCTACCTATGCATGAAATTTTACATTTGTTGTTTAAAAAAAATCTATTAATAACACTTATTTGTATAAATCTTTTTTTCACATCAACAAAACTCCAATACCTATCTCTAGTATCTGAAAATTCTAGTACCTATAGCAAATGAAATGGATGAATGCTGTTGTGTATGCAGTTGTAAAACAGGCCAGTTTGGTGTCTATTTCTTTACTGTTTTCGGATTTTAGAGGAAGCTGTGGACATATTTTATTAATACATAATTATCACCCTTGTCAACTAAACAAATTCTTTTGCATTTACTTCTCAATTCCTGCAAAAGAATATTGCAATAGATAGGTATACCACACTCATAACGGATATTTGAATGCTTGTGACTACAGTTTTTTATGTCAATGACTAATTATTGACATGAGGGAAACTATTTTATCGATTGTCGATTCATTTGGACAAATTTAATCATATTGAATTATGAAAGTTTCAAAAAATGTTCAAACAAATCGTTTATTTTGTAAGTTTTTGGATCTTATTTATATGGATTTTACTTGAAACATATCGTTAGAAAATCTATTCTTCTAGTCAGAAGTAAAAAATCTGTCGCATCCTATGGCTCGCTATGTACCTAAACCCTTGTTTACTCTTCATGGAGTGGAACTGCTTTCCCTGATTAGGGAATATCGGCTGGCGATTAATAAATCGATAATTTTATCAACAAGAACAGTTGGGTCCCTTTAGGCACGATCGGCAACTGCTAATAGACAATATCACTTCGAATAGGGTGGTGCAAAACACTATACTGTTTCAGTCCGTTCGATATCAATTGGTTGAGGATTGAATAATTTTGATCAGGGGTATGTCTGCATTCTGATGTTTTGAGTCACTAAACAATGTTTTTTGTAGAAATAGATGATGAACTCATGGACAAAAATCGGTAAGGGAATTTTTCATCAAAAAATGGTATGTGATAATTTCGATAGGAAAAAAACACTGTAATTGCTTAGTTTAGAGGTTCTGTTTAGTTCATTTCTGGTGATAGATGAAAATTACGCCGTTAATTAACTATCGACGGCACTAAACTTGCTTTTTAAAAAATACTTTTATTGTTACAAACTTGAAAATGAAAAATTACAGAAATACAAAATATATGAAATTATACGTGTTGTTGGTTTGATGAATAAAATCTGACTGACTCTGGATGCGAAGCTTCGAAGATGTGCGCTCCTGTGAGAACTGTCTTGTCAGCATCTGGAACAGGGTGGTGGTACTGCTAGATCAGCGGGATTGTCCTAGGTGGTGAGATAATTCCTCCNATTGTTCTATTTTTACTTGTATTTAATTTCACTGTTATTTCATTTCAGGTTTCCCTTTTTCGCATTGTTCACCATTGCTATTGGAATCACTAGATTGGAAAAAGTCTGCGTTGTTACCACACTTGTTATTACTATCAGTAATTGTCCAAGGACACCACATTTTAAACAGATAACAACAATTTCAAGTTATTATATTTGCACCAATATCGAATTTCAATACTCAAATCGCGATCAGTTCCTGAACTGAACACGACGGCTATAACCAACCCCGCATTCCCGATTTCTGTTCGTCATCGTAACATGACTTCAAATTTAATTTTATGACTTTTCAGTCAATCATAAAAGTCGGTTAGTAAAAATTATCCAATACGAACCGCCAATTCTACAGTCGACGTGGACTAGTTCGCAACCGGTTCATTTCTATGTATTGGTTTTTTTTGGCCTTTGAGAGTATCGCCAACTTCAAGTGTGCACAATATTGTTTACTTTGACTATACTATCAGTTGCGACGTGGAAATACGTAGAAGATAAAGTAAGTTGTTCAATGTCGTTGTTGAAGAGGAGCGATGAAAACAGCTTGGTTGTAAATTGCCAGAAAAACCGTTATTATTAATTTTTCATATGGTTCAACTGAACCTATTTTGAGTTAGATACAAGTGGAGGAATTGTGGTGGTGAACGTAATCACAAACACTAAACGTCTCGAAACGGTTAAAGACTGTGAACTGAATTTCACAGAATATGTATAAAATATATAAAAAATTGAACCAAATATATTTCCTAATTACTTCGTTAAAAAACGAAATTATATCTTACTTCCTGACCATGATAAATTATGCTCAGGTGAATGGATTATCGCGTCGAATATTATCGTTTTGGCCCGAAACAATTTAAGCACTCTGGTTTGAAAAAGTTTCATCTGTGTACTGTTTTTTATACGACAAGCTGCTCTCTTTTATAAAAGGATTCAATATTTTGAAGCAATTCCAGAAAAGCTTGAAAAACTATCTGCTCAAAAAACATTTTATTCGGTTGTTGGATTTATTGAACCAGTAATCGGCATATGGCGTATCTTATTTACTCTTCACTTTTTTCGCTTCTCAATTTTATTGTATGTACCTAAATTATCAATAGTTTTCGTAGCGCCGTTAAATTATGACTTTATCAGTCAAAGTTTGGATACCTTGAAATTTCAATAGGAGTTAGGTACTAATTTTTGAAAGTGAAATACGACCCACATGTTACCCTTTGCATAAGTCAAAGAATTTTCAGTTACATCAAAAAATATTAGTTCAGATCGAATAGTTCTGCCCGTGAGGCATCACACATTTTCCAATGCCAACTCGTTCGGTTTCCGCCTCACACCCCACACCTGACACCAAATTACCAACGATTACAGTCGTAGGTATTACCGTCCACCGGCACGCTCTACCGTGATACGATAATCATCTGCGAGACAGATAGAGCGAAGCATTAGAGCATCAGCGGTGACGGTGCCGTTCAACAATAGTGCGATGCGAGGGTTCGAGGGGATCGACGGGGCGCCGGATGATGGGCGGCTTCGTAATCAGCAGACTGTGGAGGCCGCAGGGAGTGATGCGGGGCGCTCAAACTACGCCGCGACGCTCGGGTTGACCTGCCGCCACGAGTGTCACGTTTACACAACGACGAAAGGACGGAATTAGAAAGGTTTCTAGCGAACGGATCTATTTGGTTGGGGTGTTTCATTTGACCGTCGGATGTTGGAATGTATACCTGCCGATTTTGAAATACATAGATGTAACATATTATAGAAAGCAATTCGTTTCTAATTATTCGCATAGGTTCTTATATCGTCTCAGAATTGAATTAGAAATGACCTTCACACATCTGTTCGATCAAAGTAAAGTACCTCATATCAAATTCAGTATGTTAAAAATAAATGGCGAGTGAGTAGGTTGGCTGAAAAATTCCTGCCAGACTGTGATCAACTCAAAAATTGTGGCCAGACATAAGACCCATTTGTTCGATAAACAAATTTCATATCAATCGAAAGAATAAACTAAAATTGATAAAATCTTCATTATGTTAGAAATCCTTTATTTTAATAAGAGCCAACTTCAACGACCAATTGTTTCGAATTTCACGTAAAAGTCGATCACAGAGTTGTTCTAGTCACAAAAAATTATTCTTAGCCACTTCGTTGCGTTTTATTTTATGACATAATAAACTTCTGGTTTCGATCAAGATGTACTTGTAATTGAGCAGTCTGGTTACCATGAAACTATGTATTTTTCTTCGATGTTCCAGGCTATAGACTTCTTCTTCGCGATTTGTTTCTGTGCGTATGTGTCAGCATTAGCCATGTTTTAAGTACTGGTTTTTGTAAACAAACAATAAAAAAAATTATTCACATTTGATTCGAATAAATAAGAAAAAAGTGAAATAATGAATGTCCTTATTGAAAAAAACAATTCTATGTGATTATTATAATGTTACCTTTCCTTGTAATTACAGTGATTACATGTCATGAATCATTTGCGGGTAATATCTACTATTGTATTGACTTCACAAAACTTTATTTTGAATATAGTGAAAAATAAAGAAGTCATCAAGTTAAGTTCATATCGAAACATGATCGAAATGCAGAAAATGTGAGTTATGGTTGAAAAAATGTGGTCTTCGTGACTTGTTTTTGTACCCGGCATTTTTGTGGAGAAAATTGATAAATCAATAAGGCAGATTATAGTCATCAGTACACACACACTATTTTTCAAATATATTTAAACTTTAACTTAGCCTCAAAGTTTTAAATCACTCGTATTATCAACATTATTGGTTATCAATTAGTATTGTATTTTGTGATTTCTGCTACATTTTCTGTCCCTCAACATGCTTTAGAGAAGGCCTCAGAATAAGTGAGAAATGGTTGGAATTGTTGAGACAGCTACATGACAACAGGTTATTATTAGATCCCTTCGAAAGTTTAAAAATCAAAAAATATGACCGGAGACGCCCATTCCAGACAGCCCATTGTTAAATTTTTCACGTATTGATTACAGGTAAAAAACAGGCAAATATTAGGTTAACAGGTAGTCATTCATTAATCTACATAGTTTAGAAAGTAAATTACAATTATCAATACTAAGAATTTATTAATGGCTCTCATTTGATATTCCACATATTAAATTATTAAATAATTTTTTGTTGAGTCTTAGGTATACGTGAGAAAATTCAATAACTACCTAAATCGAAATGAAAATTCTTCAATTATTGAAATCAAAAGTAAACACAAAGTTGTTTTTGTGTTACAATCAATGGCATGATTCTTATGAGCCTCCTAAGATTTTCTTGAGGGTTGGTTTTGACGGCTTCGGATGCTTCTTCCCACCTGATCCCAGATATGTTCGATGGGATTCAGGTCCGGCCCCAAAGTGGTGATATTGTGGGCTTGTAGGTACTGACGCACGATTCCTACAGCACAGGGACGGGCCCCATTGTGCAGAAGAAAGAAATTGTGCCCTCCTGCTTCTGTATCGTATCTGGATATCCAACACCTCATTAACATACCTTTGGGCGGTCAGGGATCTATTGGGGCTCACTACAAAGTCTGTATGAATATTAAGTGTCATTCGACAGAACACCATTATTGATCCACCTCCAAATGGTACCGTTGAAGATAAGCAGCAGAGAATAAAATGTTCATTCCTTCTTCTGTATACTCTGGTTCGACCATCATTACCAAAAAGAGTAAATTAGACTCATCAGTATGTCTAAGCGACGTGCATTTTTTTCTCTTTTGTTATGTGCTGTAAGACGAGGTACCTGGACTGGTCGTCTAGATCTCATTCCACTTTCCCGAAGTCGATTTCGTACAATCTGGTTGAACATTTTGGTGCCGTTGCTCGACTTAGCTCATTTTGTAGCTCCCAGGCTGTGGAAAATCTGCAACTGTGGGCACTTAGACATAAATACCTGTCCTCTTGGGCTGAAGTGGACCTCCGCAGCCCTTGATCTGGTTTCCTATGAACAGTCTGTAGTTGTTGGTAGCGGTTTCAAAGTCTTGAAACCACTGATTGGCTACCACCAAACCTTTGACCCACCTGACGTTGAGAAATACCCCCTTCAATCCATGTAACAGCCCTGGTGACATTATTGTCAGAAAGAAATATTCTAACACCTGCCATGGTACGTAAACAGAAGGCACCAAACAGAAAATGAGTAAACTGCAACTTGTAAGTTCGATTGACAACTTTTCCAAAAAGATTTCCATTATCTATACTGATCCAAATCCAAGAGTTAAAAACAACCCCTGTCGTTTCTTTTCAAAGTTGTCCACTACGAAAAGTCACATTGTTAAATTTATCATAAAACTTATTCTTGTACGCGATCATCACAAACTAGTGATACTCTAATTGTTTTGGGGAGTGTATATAAAAGCTCTAAGTTAATTGTAATATTTAGTTTTAGTCATATCCAGATGATGCTAAGGGAAACGCGCGTGTGGAAAACGGGTAATTAATAGATTCATTTCACGCTACAGAATCCAATTCTACCTATTATGAAGTCCTTTGTCAAAAAACCCTCTAATACAACCCAGTTTTCCTAACTGATGATCGATTATATTCCCCTTTCCAGAATTCCCGAAATATGTTGGAAAAAAATCCCTAGAAGCCAGAAGACATAATGAGACTTCCCGTGACAGACAGACAGCGGCTCATCGTGCGTCAGTAGTTTGACGACGACCTATAGACGTCGCGGCGGCGAGCTGGCGTCCGGGCGCGCGTGCCGACGAATTCTGCGAACAAGGTTAAACGGCAGGAGAAACGCGTGTGGATTTTTATGTTTTTCTTTCCTCTCATTTTTCTAACTGGGAACCGCTTTATTGCCGTTACGATGTTATGTGTCGATATTTTTCTACGTGTGTTCCTTTTGTTATCGGCAAGAGAAAAACGTTATGTTCTCATGTTGTACTCGGGAAACTTGGAATTTATTACTAAAAAAAACTAGAATTAGCTCTTGTTAATTTCATTGGTATTGTCAATATCTTGTTCAACTACATTTTCTGGTCAATTTGAAGGAATTCTATACCAAGTGATGAAGAGCTGTTTGAATGATGAAAAACTCTATCACAATAGAAAATGAAATTAGTAATGAGAGAAAAGTTAGCTATGAAGTTACACAAGGAACTGTTTTGGGCCCTGTTCTGCTTATCCTTCACATTAACTCCCTGTTCAACCATCCTATTCTCGCAGAAATTATGGACTTTGCTGATGACAAACCTGTTACAGATAGAAACTGTAACAAGATAATAATAATAATAATAAATATGCTTTATGTCCAAAGAAAAGTTCTTATTGACAAAGCTTTGGTGAACATTTTGAGAAAGAAAAACATAGTCAAGTGCATGAAATCAGAATATAAGCTAGTAGATTGANTCATGTCCCCCATAGGATTCATTTCCACAGCTTTGGATTATATCCTCTATGTAAATTCATTCAACTATCGAATATGACGTATGAGAAGTTTATTACAATGCAATAAGTACAAAAAATTAAAAGCTGTATATACTTAAATTCAAACGTTTGATAAGAGATATATAACAAAAAAGCATATTCCAATTATTTAGAACACGCTCAAAACCAATTGAAAGTACTCGTAGACCAGTTCTTTTTTGGACATTGGTTTATCGGAAAAAAACTGTACCTCTGGAATCACTGCAAGCTTGATAGAAAATATAGTTCAGGGTGTGAACTGAAAAACATACAGACCCTATGACCCTATGAAAAATAAAAGGGCCGCGGTGTGTCTCCAATATTGTGCCGTCGCCCGGCTCCAGGTGAGGTATGCATCACAGGACGAGATACAGGAAAGAGGTCTACCTCTATGAATAAGGTTCCCGTGTGGTTTACTCCACAGACCATATACCCCAAACGGTTCACGTAGGTTACTTCACCTTGACTTGAATCCCTTTTTTAGTACCGATACAAATCTTAAGATGGCACTGTAAATGTGTTCTTTGGTTTGATGTCACGGACCCACATATATTCTTGTGGTTTGTGATGTATGTCAAAAATAAGAAGAAGAAGAACATGTTCATAATATATAAAAAATGGTCATGTGACTCATGTGTTGTTGGTCTGTGGTGTTGTTGTCTGACTGTGTACCCTAGTGATTATTTATTTCGTTATTTTGATTGTTGTTTTACAATGGTTTACCACAACAAATGTTGCGTTCCTTATTGCAAAAGTATATCTAATATAAGACATGCATTCTCTAATCCAGATAAAGATATAAATAGGTTAAAGAAATGGATACTGGTAATTAATAACTTGGAACTGATGGAAATGAACCCAAAAGAAGTTTACGGTTCTAGAAGGCTGTTTGATAGTCATTTTGAGGCAAAATACATTTCTGCTTGGTCTCACAAGTTATTTGGGAACGCTGTTCCAACTCTAAATCTTCCTGGTGACTAAAAATTTTAATTCGTGAAACTTAAATGAAACAGACTTTTTTATAGGTTCAACAGGCTCAAATGACGTATATGATAATCCATCAACATCTAAGTCTTCAAATAGTTCTGCTCAAGAAAGTGCTCAATTTAATGAGTTAGTTATTGAGATTCCAGAATTGAACGAATCTTCTCACAGTATTGAAGGTAATGAATATAAACATACAGACATATATCGAATTGTATGTTCTCAATGAATTATCATTCACACCAAAATTTGTTAATTTCCTTAAGAGAATATGGTGGATCTTTCACTAGAAGATTGTGTTACCCAACGTTATCATTTCTCACTTCTTTTTATGATATTGTCCAAGTGATAAACTATTGTTTAGATAAACAACCATACTCCAAACATTTAATTCGTATAATTGAAAATACAATGAGCGGCAAGGTTAGCTTTGAATTCTTATCTTGCAACAAAGAGGAACATAAAAATAATATAATTCAATTTGTTATAAAATTCACCATAACAACTATCGCACATAATTGGTGCAAGCGTGTAAATCAAATTATACAGGGAAAATCGAAACTGTATACAGGTACAAATGTAATTAAATTACAAGCCAATAAAATTCGTTTGAACAGAATAAAGAAAAAGAATTCTAAGCAACCTGAACATATAATCACACAAAATGTTTAATGTTGAAATGTTCTGAATAAAAAATCTATAATAATTCAGCTGTTTTTTTAAACCTTTAAACCCTGCAACATAAAGCAGTGGTTAAGAATTTGTTCTAACTATAAATATAAACAGCGTATTGTTTTAAGTCCACACAACACTCAATATAAAGTGTAGTTTGATACTCTAAACAATACGCTGAAATTTCCAAAAAACATTTGAATAAAATGGATATACAACATTCGAATATCCCGCGTCTGTCACAATGGTACTGATACAAATCTTCAGATAGCGCCTTTTTCTGTCTGTGGTTTACTCACCTACTAGGTTCTAAAGTAGTGGTAGCGAGCGCTATCGAATATTTAGCGTCCAACTAAATTTGTTGAATCCGTGATATATGGACTTGAACTAGGTTTCATGATAAAACTACCACTCTAAATTGTTCCCGTGCACACAATCGGGGTGGGTTGCTATTCACTAATATTTAAACAGTATCAGTTGATACGCCAATCGAGTGGGATCACCAGAAATAAAGTTGATTTCTTTTGAATTTAGAAAACTTATTTGAGAGGTCAACATCATTCCACATTTGCACAAAATGCTCAATTCTGTTTCTGTACTTTTTATGCTATTTTTTCCATATTAAATATTATATTCAACGAGGAATACGCAGTACTGATATTCATGAAATGTAGACACATTGACCATTCTGATTATTCAGACCAGACGGTGCCGGTGCCTGAAGCGGATGCTCAATTTATTACGGCGACGTTTCTTCAGCATACTTCAGAAATATTGCGAAGAGCACACTTTATGTTGTTTAGTATTTTATAATGAAGTTCATTTTTTTTTATTCAAAAAGTACAACAGAAAATTCTCACGTTCTTCCTTCTTCAACTAACTCTCGAACTAAATAAGGTCTCAGTATGAAATTTTGATATGGAGTTTGATTGGTTAAGGAACTGATTTTCCGAACTCACAGGATATCCGTTAAATGCAATTCTTGAAATTTCAGTCTACGTTTGGTAGCCTGGTTTCATTTGGTAGCCTCTACGGATGGTGTTTCCGAATCTGAAGCAGGTTCTGATGTTGTACTTGGATCTACTTCTTCTTATACTTATTCTTTCTGATGATAATCCTCTGACGTAGCCAAAGTCTGTTCCACCATCACTCTGGAGTAACCATTCCGTTGCAGATATTTTTTGATGATGGCTAGTTCCTTCTCGAGACCTTCCTTCGTATTACAAAGCTCGAAAGCACGATCCACTAGGGTCTTGATGGTTCCTTTTTTGGCAGATTGATGGTGGTTGGATTTGTTATTCAAATACTGTCCCGTGTGAGTGGGTTTTCCGTATACAGATATGTATTTCTCAGTTAGTGTCGGCCCTTTTCACCAATACGTCTAAACACGGTAATTCGTTGTGGACTTCCTTCTCCATTGTGAAAGTGATGGGAGGTCTTATGTTGTTGATGTGCTTCAGGAAGGCGTCTAGTTCTATATTCCCTTGGATCCATACTATGAAGGTGTTGTCAACGTATCTCAACCAGACTCGGGGCTTCTTGTTGGCTTCTTATTCACGTCCGCACTCTACAATAGTTACCAGTGGCAAACAATTGATTATATGTTCAGGATCTCTCGTGAATTTAAAAACGAAAGAACTGAATGTCTTCTGCATACAAATTTTGAATCTTGTGTATCTTAAGAAAGAGTAGATGATTTAATTCAATTTTTGTTATCTGTTTGAAATGTGACGTCTTTTGTGACTCGTTATTACTAATAGTAATTACTAATAGTAATAACGAGTGTGATAACAACGCAGCCTGTTTTCTGTGTAGTGATTCCAATAGCGATAGTGAACAATGCGAAAAAGAGATACCAGTGAATAAGATTTGGATGCATTTGAGTATTAAAACACAGAGAGTATGTTTCAATGTATATAAGAATCTACATCTCAAGTTTGGTATCGAGGGAAAGAAACTATTACAAGTAACATCAGATTTGACCGAAATTCCTTTTCTAACGTACGCACAAGTTTCGACTTCTGAGGCTTGTCGTTCGTAGGGGTGCGACAGCTGGTTAACGGAAAAACAGATTTCAAACAGATTTTTTTTTAGATATTCATCTGATGAAATCATTAAAAAAAAACAATATACGACTGTTACAAAAGCAATGAGATTCCTGAAATCATAAGGAAGAAATTGAATACTTCCGGCCATAACGTGAGCTGCTGTGACAAAACTCTTCAGAATGGGATGAATATTTAAAATAATAAACAAACGTCAAGCAGTTATGTAAAGAAGAATAATAGTGGAATTGCCTAACACATACTCAGAACAAATAACTAAATATAGACAAGAACAACGGCAAAATTTGGACGAAACTTGGTATGACACTCACGACACAGTTACGAAAGAATGGACTGATGGTTCGAGAATGTGTATGCCTAACATGTCAGCAAACAAAGGATCGCACATTGCGGAGGAAGTGAAGAATGAGTTCAGAATTCTTTGAAATTATTTGGAAAAAACTTAAGGACTGCAATGACTATCATAAGGACATGGAAGCTGATATTTTCGTGGAATGGTTTGAAAACACATTGGTCCCAAATTTGGATGCGAATAGTGTAATAGTTCCTATCATTCACAACAGCTCATCAAAGTACCGAATAAAAATTCGAGAAAAGATGAAATACAAAGTTTTTTAATGGATAGCAAATTGTAGTTGAAAGATTTTACCAAAAAGCAACTAGAGTATTTACCAACGTTCTTAACAAGAATCTTTCCCATTTCATCAACCAGTTTCATCTATCATAAGTACGATTCTTCTTCTCCGACGATGAGCCACCAGAGAAAAAACAAAAAAAACCCATGAACATTTGCAGGAACGTTACACAGAGCCATCAAGCCGACTTGATGGCGTACTCCTCTAGGAGTTTGCGGCATTTTTCCCCATTTTACTCAGTAATGTATACCGTCATTAACCCGATCCATAAAGGCGGGCGAGAGGCGAAAAACCACTGCGGATTCGGTGCTCTTGTGCCTTGTGCCGGCGTCATCGTGCTCGTGTCAAAAGCACACACGATTTAAGATTACGGATCCCGGGCGTTAGAGCACTCTTACACATTCACGCAAGCAGGGACTGTCTCTCTCTCGTTTCCTCTCCTTCTCCTTGAGAAGACGGTACACTCTTCGAAAAAGGATAGGGTCTAAGTCGGTTCGATAAAGGGGACTATGAACTATCATAATTTACAAAACTTTCAACACAGTAAAATACAACCTATAGGCTCTCTTACCAAGTGATCCGCCCGAGTTGCCGGGGACCTTCAACCGCTCTTAGAATGAGATTATCATCCAACGCGTTCAGTGCTGTAGTATCTAAGGATTCGACGGTCGACGGGCATCGGATTAGTTATAATAAACGGTCGGAAATTGATATTGTGTTCAGTTCATTCACTGTTATTATTATTGTTTTTAGTTTTTGTAGTTGGTTATTGTTGTTTGTTTCATTATTGAGTGATTAGAAAATGGGAGATGTAAAAAAGACATTATAATATGAGTGCACGCCTATGGCAAAAGAACGAAATTGGCTCCGCACTTCACTTCGAGGTCACCGAGAACTTTTTGAATTTATGAATGAAATTAGTAGGAGTGGACTTACTGGTTGATCTTTACTGTGACTTTAACATCAGAAAGTAGGAATATACAAAAACACCAAACATATCGATAATTCACTGGTCACTACGAAATTTGACTTTGACATTGAATTATGAAATCTCGATAAATTTGATCACAGATGAACGAAAAAAAAATATGTCATAAAAAGTTTGTTATTGTTTCCAGGAGAACGTTTGAACGAAATTTTTGAAAATTTATGATTTTGATCTTTGTTTTATGAAGTGAATGGACATCGTTTTCATTGATTTTTATCATTGAATTAACCTATAAAGAAGTGGAAAATAATTTTGAAATACACGGTATTACTTTTTCTATCATGTTCGAATATACTTTCTCTCAATAAACCACAAATATAGTCTCCCATCATATTTTCATTGTATTGGCCTTTATAACGTTTTTCGAAGCTCATGATATCTTGATGGTCACGTTCTTCTTGCTGGCCACGTTCTTCTTGCTCTTCTGAATGTGCCCCCATGTTATTTTCGAATTTATATAATAGGACACGCAGCATATGTACCTTTAAAAATATCCATATTCTTGACTTTTTCATTAGAAAAAATTTGACTAATTTGCGGACCAACAAAATCTCCAGCTTTAACCTTTGCTTCTGACAACTTCGGAAAAAATCTTTTTAAATATTCGAAAGCCTCTGATTTTCCATTCAATTTTTTTATAAGTTGTTTTGTCAGCCCCAATTTAATATGCAAAGGTGGCATTAACACTTTTTCCGCTTCAACAATCGACTAAAATTTTACGTTTTGTTTCCTGACACAAGGTTCTGTTCTATTAGGCCATAATCGTCGAGAATAATACTGAGTATCCGCTCTGATGTCCTATAAACAGAGATGACAGGGATATCAGCTTCGGGAACATGGTAATAATAATTTTAATTTATTTACTCCACTTGTTGAGAAGTCCAAAAGAAGATACATATTGCGTCATTGATTCTCCTCCAATTTTTTCCTATATATTTGTATGAGGTGCTTGCTTATATTTTTATACCGCTTACAAAGAAGTGTTCAAATCATCTTGGCGACTCCGCCACATTATTCAATGCCCCTTGGAACCTTTGGTTTAGTAATAAATATTACTGGAGTTTTATCCAAGCACCAAACCGTTATTTTAACACCTGGACACGTGTCTCGATCACCGAGTGATCATCTTCAAGGGAAAGATTAAAATAAATATACCAACAATGTTATCCTTATTTATACTGCTAGGTACCTGCATCCTAATTGTCTCAAATTGATTTTAAAATGTTGCCCTATCTAATAGTCTTAAATTAATTTTACAATGTGGCCTAACGTAATAGTCACGTAAATCTGATAATTAAAATATTATTTCAACAAGCTACATAGTATAGTATTAGGTATTGGTCCACCAT